GCTTTTATACTGTGATATTTGGATGCAACTAATCAAACATTAAATGTGTTATTTCACTTTAAAGTTTGCAGATTGAAATACATGTATACACCTAATGCGTTTCTTTCTGTTTTGGCATATGCTCATGCAGATTAAGGGGTTTTGGTAAAGACAGTTAAAACATAGTGATACATGGTTCTACAGTCATGAATGAGCTTCAGTTTAAAATATGTCAGCCTTACTTTAAGCGAAAGGAAAATTGATTGAATTTCTAATTTCAGGTGTCTGTTGATAACAATTTGGTGTTCACTCTGAAGATCCCCGACCCGAAATCAGTGAACGCTGCAACAGTGGCAGGAGACGTTAAAGTCTGGAAAATTTACATAGAGTGATACATTTCAAGATATTACACTTACAACTGTTAATTGTCCAACAATTCGATTTGTCTTATAGATTACACTTAATGCTTTTGTTTATTGTTCCAAGGACACAGTGTAACTATAGTAAACAATATTACAACTGAGAAAGACATAAAATGTGTAAAAAGCATTACATGATTATGAAACGGTGTCCATGTCTTTATTTAATTTAAACAATGGTTTGGAAATGGAATAATGAAGTTTTTATGCTTTGTGCCTTATGGATGGATGGTCTCATGTGTGACTGAACGACTGGGAGATTAATAAGGGCTACCCAGCTCTTACCACGAGGAGGTTGCTCTTCACGTCTGATTCATGGGGCTGTAAGCCAATTCACATTTTGACAGAAATATTATTACCATTTTGAACAAACCAAAAGTGTTTTTGTTCAAAACCACAATATTTGTAAACATTCCATACACAAGCCATAGCGTGACAAGCTGATTGATAGAACTGGGCCTATTCTACCACCCGTCAAGGCAAAGTGTGTTGGATAATTGCCATCTCCGGTAACCTCAACTACCAGACGCCATATCTGCCCACCAGGGACGCAACCAACGGTAAACACGTGGCCAAATTTGGTCGCCTTTTACGACCAGCAATGGGTCTGGATCCTTGTGCAGTTTGTATTTACGTTTAAGCATACACATATCATCAAACCACAAATTCACCAAAAAGAAAAACCAAAGCGTTTTCCCGTTGCTCACACCACATATGAAATTATTGCGCGCATATATTCTACTGCCATATTTGTTGGTGTACACTTCAATAATCAGAATTCTACCACAACCACGTTAAGTGGTCCAGTTCTATTGCAAAATAATTTGTATCAACATGAGTCTTATTTTACGGGCGCTTTGTTGCGCAGGAATGTACAACGCTGTCGCCATGCTCCTGTTTAACAACCAGCATAACTTATATCAACACAACAGGGTTGCAGCATAGGCAATGTTTCTAAATATTTAACATATAGTAAATGTATAACCCAATAAAAAAAATATTGCCTGCCTTGTCATGCAGGCAGTCCTATTTAATGAAACATCTTTGTAAACATTTCATCACAATTGTAACAAAGGTACACTCACACACTCAATCAGTCAGGGCGGTTTGGTTGTTAGGGTGGTGGTGCTTTTGTTATTGTATGGGTCTTTTCATAATGGCCTTGATATTATCACAAGGTCTGTCATACATGGTAAACACATATATATTTTATTTATATCCCCAACTGTTCTTAAAAATGTCTATGATTTAAAGAAGTACTAGTACAGAGATCACGTGACACATATAACCATCACTGTTACAAGAAATGGGAAAGAAAGTAGCATCAACAGTTCTTCTTCAGATTGCATGGAAAGGAGCTAGCCCTGTCAACGTTAGTGATGGGCTGATAAACAAGTTCGGGGGTCCGGTTCTTCTGCCTGATGGACAGTCGGACAGTCGATTAACGAATGGACGAGACTCCATGTTATGAATTTAGAATCATACTGAGGATAATATGTAGTCATCCGTCGCTGTCGATATACCAGCGTTTAGAATTCCCGACTGCCTGCCCGACGTCCCGAACGGTCTGTTTTCATCTCGGACGGTTACATTTCAAAAGTAGCCTATCCGGTGGTCTGGTAGATGTTTTTACCCCTAACAAAAAATATTTCAAAATAACCGACAGGTTCTCTTGCCGTCCGTTTGAGGTGTTTAAGGTATTATGGTAATTATGTTAAACTATTTACGATTGGACAGTTCATTTTACAAGAACCAATCACAACACATGTACTTTCAGTTTACCTAAACTCGGTGCATTGCCTGTTAGTGCTATGTGGTTCTTTGCGATGCCTACAAACAGTAAAGTATTCAGAAACCCGATTTTTTTTCAATGTTGAAAACCGGACAGGCAAGTTTGTATCCGGACTAGTATATTTTTAAAGTCACCAGTCCGGCTCTCTGGCCTCGAATTTTGGGAGTTTAAAACACTGGATATACACCAGTATCGTCTAGTTTGACAAGCAACATTTATTCTCATTCATATTACACAGTCGGATCCACGCAGTAATTAATATACCAGTGCCTATTACATAGGTTTCAACATTGCCGAGTATCAGCGAGATACAACCTATAAATAATCTTATTAGACAGTCTCATAAAGACATTAATGTCAAAAACAACAACAACCACAACAAAATCCAAAACATTTATTGCATTGCCCGTTTGACACCATCGCACCAGCCTCAATCCACTTCGACTGGTCTTTCCCACGTCCTTTCTATCTCAAGAGCTCATAATGGTTACTTCGCCCTGAAACACACTGCTCTCACTTACGTCTTGGGCAAGGGAGTTATCTCACGATAAATGTCCAGTTCCCACCCCTGGCAAAGTAGGCTCGAAGTTTGTAGCACGATCCGCCAATGGCTATCAGGAGTTGTGTCCCTTGTATGTCCTTTTCTCTTGACCAACCAGATTCCTCCCTTTACTTTGGCAACTCATGCCTGTCGGAAATGTGGTCAGACACGCCGATGCTCACTGGACAGTCTGCACCGTCAATAAGCTCGAACATTGCTGTGTGCTGTGTTAAACAATAGACTAACGAAATAACAATAAAGACACGATACAACCTCGTTGTGAAGGAGTTACACGTGCTTATAAGATTTTACTAACGCTTCATTTGGTTCCATGATCTTGACCTGAGGGCTCTAGCAAGGGGCTCCCCTTTCTTGTGGCAACCATGTAATCTGATGTTTTCGAATATATTTTTTAATTTGACATGTATCACTTAAAATTTTAACGAATACACCAGAGGATACTATTCGCAGTTTTGTACCAGATAAATGAATAAATCGTTTCAACGGAAGTAGAATATGGTTATCATTTAATGCACAAGATCCAAGTGAGTTCAAATTCAGTATCCAATTACTGTCGATAAATGTTTCAACCTGTTGCCAGAAGTCCTGAACATGCCCATAGTGTATATGACCAGAAGTCAAAGATAAATAGATGGGTGGATGGATGGACTGATGGATGATGATGCGAATGGATGGATGGAGGGAGGGAGAGAATGATGGATTGATGGATTAATGGGTGGATGGATGGATGGATGAAGGTGTGGATTGATGGATGGAGGGAAGGAGGGATGGGTGGATGTATGTATGTATGGATGGATGGAGGTGTGGATGGATGGAGGGAGGGAAGAATGGATTGATGGATGGATGGAGGGAGGGAGGGAGAGAGGGAGGGAAAGAGGGAAAGAGGGAAGGATGGATGGATGGGTGGATGTCAGAGTTAAGTCAACTTCAGGCCTCACCAGTTGCCAAGGAGGAGAAGAAAGAAGACGGGAAGGAGCTATATTTTCCAGCTCAATGCCGGCAGCAGAAAGAAATGGTTTAATTCTGTGCCCATGAGGCGGAACAAGAGAAGTTTTTTTGTTGTATAAATCCTCATAGAGGAGATTGAAAACACAGTTAAATGCAGGGTTAGACTCGCTAGAATATAGTTTGGTAATGTATTGTAAAGATAATTTTATACGACGCTGTGTAAGAGAAGGCTCATCTACTTCAACATATTGACTATCAATAGGAGAGGTTCTAAAGGACCCAAGCCAAAGTCTTAGGCCTTGGTGGTGGACAGAAGCAAGTAGTTTTAGGTTGCTTTTGCAGGCTCCGCCATAAACGATGGAGCCATAATCAAGTTTAGATCGCACCAATGATCTGTATAAGTGAAGGAGGGTAGTTTGATCCCCACCCCACTTTGAATTTGAAACATCCTTTAACAAATCTAGTGCCTTCAGGCATTTAGCTCTAAGGGATTTAATGTGTGGCAAGAAGGTTAAATGAGAATTAAAAAATAGACCCAAGAATTTGGCCTCCTTTACAACTTTGGTGGGAGTGTCATTTAAGATAGTTGGTATCCCAAGGAAACGGGTTAAGTGTTCTGTTCATAACTCTCTAACATAAATAGATAGAAATTGCCTACGGTGTGATGAGTCAGCTTTACGCGAGTCAAGCAAGGTGTAATGCCATTGTGACAGGGGATTAGCATTGTGACATCATACTTGTAAACCATTACACTTGTGTAACATCGCCGTAAAAAATATTACACCGCTTTATCGTCCATGCACATAATATAGGCGGAATCGTACAAACGGCTCAGGTAAATGACTGATTGGGCACTCTTTCGTTACAATGTAACAATCTGACTCCTGCACGAACTGTTTCTCAGCCCATCTCCTTCTCCGAGTAATGGTTTGCATATTTGTACGTATTAAAATAAATCATTACTTCTGCATGTTTTTCGTAGTTTCTTACGGGTGTTCACTTTCAGAATGTATTTTCCTGAATAACTTTCAAAGCTGAAAATGACCCTCTATATATTACACAAACGGACTTCGTTACTTGTTCATTGTGGTGCATGTGTTTGTCACTATGAAGTCGTTATCAGGAAGTACTTCGTCATCGACCCTCTAATCTACTTAATGCAGGCCACAATGGTAGCACCAGAACAGGTCCTCCGGCTGATTGAAAGACTGCAACAAACAGATTAAATAATCGAACCTGCCAAGCAGTGCGACTCATTGTCAGACGTCCGTTCATTAAGTGAAACTTGTTAAAACATAAAACATATCTGTTACTTTCTTATGACAAGGACGTTTCTCCCTAATGATAATCACGCCATAACTGAATCAGTGATCGGTTTGTGAACAGAGCCAATTAACTTGTTTAAAACGTAACCCAGCGTGTGGTCAATTCTTACGTCGTAACATCGATTAATACTTACTATCATCCCGTTCTCTAACTACGGGGAAGTATTCCCAGACTCGAGAAGCAAGGGCATGGCTGTGTTAGGATTTGTTCAGATTGTTCTCACCATCACCATCTCAAACAGCCGCTCCTTAAAGATAGTCACGGTATCACTTTGTCAGTGATTGGTTGGTGCACACAGCCAATTAACATGTTTACAACGCAACCGAGCGTGTAGCCAATACTGGTGTCATACTACCAATTAACACATTGAGCTGTAAATATTCTCCCGTTCACTAACTACAGAGAACTATTCTAGAAACTTGCAGCAGGAGGATGGTTGTGTGGGAATTTGTTCAGCTAGCTCTCACCATCACCATGACTTACAGCTCAGCTTCACAGTCATGCGGCATTCTGACATTTCACCACCATGGAAGTTTGGATGGACAAATGTTCAATGACACCTTCATCACTGAACGAAGTGTTTCTGACAAAGCTGCATGCTTGTGGTGGTGTTTCCATGATCTGCAGTGCAACATGGTACTGCACAATCCAGCGTCTCAACGTTGCCGGTTGTACTATTCATCCGTCATCACTGGGGGTGAACAAGAGGCAGGCTGGCAGTATTATACAGGTAACGAATGCTGTATGTCATTCTGGTTGTATTCTTATAGTAATACATGATCTGTGGGTTTTTTTTCTTTAAAGTTGTACTCATCCCTAATCCTGCTATACCAATAGCACAGAACTGAATCTGGACCACACGAACATGATGGTGCATCGGTCTTTGCAGATATGTAGTTTGGATGAATGACATGGTATTCACTCATATTCTTAGGATCTTTGTTTGATTTTGACACCCGGCTCAGGAATATTCCGGCATACGTGATGTCAGCCTGTAGATATTTGACCACACAATCCAGTGATTGACATTATCAGCATCGGACAACGCAGCTAGGATACAGCGGCGTTAATTCACGTTTACTGGATGTTCCAGTAGAAAGATACCAGCTGAAATTTCACATGTTACAGATTAACTGACCTTACAGAAGTCAAAGGGGGTTATGTTGTTTATTGTTGTTGTTTATTGGTTATGTGTTTATTGTCCGACACATCGATCACTTGATTATCTGGTTTGTTCACATGCTACCAGTAGAGCAGGGCATGCCGTCTCTTTTCGCGAACAGCTGGTCGCACCACTGATTTTCAGTGCTCTATCTATATACATTTTTACTGCTGTTAACGTGGGTGTGTAAGACTGGGTGTTGCCTGGATGTTATATATTTATAACATGTTATATATGCATGGGACAAAACACCTGGCCTCATCAGCCTCATCAGCAACAAGGAATTGAAGTGCGGGGCTCCACAGGGGTCTGCTTTTGGACCCATCTCCTTTTCAATCTACACAAAACCTCTAGGTGGCATTATTCGACAGTACTCGCTCCAGTTCCATAGCTATGCTGATGACAAACGCCATCGGCATTAAATACCAGGAAAGGAATTTCACGGCTAGAGGAACGTGTTTGCAAAATTCATAATTGGATGTCATCAAACGTTCATAAACTCACTAGTGACAAAACTGAACTCATGATGATCGGGACGCCCCACGAACGTAATAAAACTGAACGACACACGCTCTCAGTTGGATTATCTTCCGTAGCACCTTCCAAATCTGGCAGGAAGCTGGGTGTTCAAATGGACAGGTGTATGTGCAGCAAGACTCAAGTTCTAAAGAATCACAGAACCACAAACTTCAAACTTTGTGCCATCTGAAAAATTAGAAGATACCTGAATGCTGATACCACCAAAACTCTTGTGCATGTATATATCACATCCTATCTGGAATACTGCAATACTCTCCTGTCAGGATCTGGAGCCATCACACATCTACAAAGAGTCCAGAACAAAGCATCCAGAGTCATTACCCGTACCAGACAGCATGGGCATATCACAGCTATCCTGAAACTTCTTCGCTGGCTTCCAATCCAGAAACGTGTATTCTTCACAATTCTTACCCTCACCTACTCTGCTCTTCACTGTGAGACAGCCCCGACCTACTCTGCTGTTCGCTGTGAGACAGCCCCGACCCACTCTGCTCTTCACTGTGAGACAGCCCCGACCTACTTGAAGGAACTCCTCACTCCTTCTATTCCGCCACGAAACCGCTGGTCCCCAGTACAGTCACAGCTCCCTGTCCCATTCATTAGATCTCAGCTCGCTGGTCATGCCTTCTCTGTGGCAGCCCCAGCACTGTGGAATAGTGTCCCTTTTGAAGGCAGATCTGCAAACTCAACTGACTCTTTCCGTCAATCCATGAAAACATTTTCTCCAAGACATTTTAACTTCTGTGATGATTCATGTTAGTATTTATGTAATGCACTGCTGAGCAGCTTTCAGTTTGATATCAGGTGCTACAGAAATGCATTATTTTTATCAGTAGTAGTATCGTGATCTGCCTTCATTTGTTGGCATTCTATATCCTGTTTCTATATTGTATTGTCATCAAAAGTTAAAATGTTTTCAATATGGCTGAAATATTGCCGATGTGACTTTAAATCTTAACTCTCTCACTCACTAAAATGTTTTCGATTTAATTACTAGTTTCAAATTTATATCTGTGATAATCTAGTTGTTTTACTGTCCTTGTTTGCATGATTTTAAAATGTACTTTTAATTACTATCAATCAAACTTGATTTAGTCACGATATGACTGAAATGCTGCCGATGTGTTTTAAAATCACTCACTCACGCACGCACTCACTTGCTGAACGTACATAATATTTGGTTGCGTCTGTTTTAATATCTGCCAGTATAACGTACACTCCTTGTTTAAGAAAGTGTTGGCATGAATCTGCATTGATCTGCAGTCAGGTGGTTTCAGTTTGGTTACTAGCGTCTGTAGCCTGGTGTTAATTAAGAAGACTTCATCTCTTATATATGATGATGTACTAGAGCTTTTACTATCTTTGTGCTATTCAGCGTCAAACATATTGTCGTCTAAAGCGCGGAAAACCATTGCATGAACCAGGTATAATAGACCCCTATGCATTCCACTCTCCGTTCAAATACATGAGATAATAATCAATCCAAACCGCTCGGTATAATAAATGGACCAATGCAAATTGGATATGCATGCATGTGTAATTAACGTTTATTGCAACAATGTGGGCTGTCAATTTAAAAATCTTTATCTCCAAAATTAGTCTACACAATGTGTTGATGAGATCGTTAAGATGTTTGGTACCTTCTTAGCTTCGTCAAAAGGTTACAATCTACATCGATTCTGTCTGTACGGTTGTAATAAATGTGTTGATCATCCATCCTCAGAAACTTTGGACATGGTGTACTAAATATGCTTTATCAATTATAGATGCCTTTATTTCACAACTGCCAAGATCTTGTAAGATCAATATACTGCAAACAGCATTCACAACAAAACACACTCGTATAAAAACTGACGCATGTGGTGAACAGTGTTTTTTCGATCCGTGTATTTTGTGCATAAAGGTGTATAACAAACCAGTTATAACGAACCACGGTTATAACGAACTGAAACTAGTGCCCCATCTGAGTTCGTCACAAGCGTAGTGTATCCTATTATCCATTTGCCACATTACATCTACAATGAAAAAAATAATAATTGAAAATGGGGAACTCACTGGAAAACAAACAACAAAGAAATGTGGGATAATTAGCAATTGCATTTTCGACGTATCTAAGTTTACAAATCATACTACTAAGAGTTACTACATAAAAGAGTGGAAATTCCAATTTTAATAAGAGTTCAAATGCACAGGCAGTATTATATAACAGCAGCTATAAAGACAAGCTGTTAGTGTTGGCTAGGAACCCTTGGCGAAAAGTGATGTTCGTGTAACCGGAGATGAGGCAGGAGGCAGGAGCTGGCTCCCATTATATATACAGCAAAGATCTATATTCTGGCATTTTCTACAGACCTTGGAATTTCCACACCAGGCTTGTCTATAAGCCTAGATATAGTAACCAGCAAACCAATGCCCTGCACTGAATATTAACAGAAACAATGTAATACAAATATAACACTGTTCTCAGTGCCACATTCCAGATGTTACCACTTCATGGACGTAAGTCACTGTACAAAAGGGCACTGATTGCTGAGGATATATCTGCCCAATATCCAACAGGTATAGCTTATGTAACTGCAGAAAAACAAAGACTAAATAACTGTTTCAGCATGGTATGCTGTATTGACAGGTCGGAATTGTCAACAAGTACTTCATGATGAGACTGACGTGGAATCTGTGTTGTGTTTAGTTACCTGCAGCGACTTCCGGATCCTGAATGCACTCTCGGTGATCAGGAACCAGACCCACGAGGATGTCAGCTGCTCCAACGGATTCTCCTATCTACCGACAACGTCAGGCAAATGTTTCCATGACAACGTACCATTAGACATAGGACGGTGCATGCAGACCCTCTGGATTGACCCGGCACAGTGACATATGTCTGGAAACTTAACACATTTATGTCCACGTCCTCCAACACATACATCACTTCATGTGTTTCATGTTAACTTACTGTAAATACAACGATGGCCGATAAGAACTTTACCGTAATTTTAAATCAATCTAGTTTTACAAAGACACAAAAGATACAATGATATACGTGTCATAAGGGTTTACTTTACTTCGTTAGGATAAACATAAAGCACTGAAAAAAAGCATACATATTGCTACAGTTCTGCATAACATTTTACACGCCTGTCTTGTTGTTATATAACACACACCTGATCACTGTCTTCTTTACAACAGGTGCGAGTATTCAGGACGTCTCTCCCTGCTTCCCTGTCTAGTTGTTATATAACACACACCTGCTCACTGTCTTCTTTACAACATGTGCGAGTATTCAAGACGTCTCTCCCTGCACCCCTGTCTAGTTGTTATATAACACACACCTGATCACTGTCTTCTTTACAACAGGTGCCAGTATTCAGGACGCCTCTCCCTGCACCCCTGTCTAGTTGTTATATAACACACACCTGCTCACTGTCTTCTTTACATCAGGTGCGAGTATTCAGGACGCCTCTCCCTGCTCCCCTGTCTAGATGTTATGTAACACACACCTGCTCACTGTCTTCTTTACAACAGGTGCGAGTATTCAGGACGCCTCTCCCTGCACCCCTGTCTAGTTGTTATATAACACACACCTGCTCACTGTCTTCTTTACAACAGGTGCCAGTATTCAGGACGCCTCTCCCTGCTCCCCTGTCTAGTTGTTATATAACACACACCTGCTCACTGTCTTCTTTACAACAGGTGCCCACTGTCGAATCGTGGCCGAGGTTTATTGTCATATCCTCTGTAGACGATACGCCGCTACAACTTAACCCCTTTGCAATCTCCAAGGGCATTCATGGTGTCTGTGGGGAAGTGAAGGACGTTACACGGCTTCGAAATGGCTCACTCTTAGTGGAATGTACCCGTAAGCAACAATCTGTCAATTTGTTGAAACTCAAAAACTTTGTGAATAGACCCGTTGTTGTGTCAGTGCACAGAACGTTGAATTCCTGCAGAGGTATAGTCAGAGACAGGGCCCGTTGCCTTTCTGATATGAACGAGGATGACATCGTCAATGAACTAAAAAACCAGGGCGTAACCGCAGTAAAGCGTTTTTCGAAAAAGAAGGATGATGGCACAATTGTCCAGTTGAATACGTACTTGTTTACGTTCTCACTTTCCGCACTACCAAAAAGTATAAAAGCTGGGTACTTTAACATCGGAGTTGAGGTATATGTTCCAACTCCGCTCCGATGTTTCAAATGCCAAAAGTTTGGTCATGGGGCCAGGTTCTGCCGTAACACCACTGTATGTTCCCGTTGTGGTGGTGCACATGAACTCTCTGAGTGCACTAATAGCATCAAGTGTGCTAACTGCAGCGGAGAACACTTGGCCTCATCGAAATCATGCCCCTTCTACGAACGCGAGACTAACACCCAACGGATAAAGCATACTAACAATATTTCTTATGCTGAAGCTAAAAAGCAGGTAACTGTTTCAACCAAATCACCCATTTCATATTCCAGTGCAGTTTCTTCCCATGTCACTACTTTCAGACCTCCCATGACATCAATGTCGTGTCAAACGTCAATATCCTGGGTAAATGAACAGTTAACAATAGATGAGGCAATTCAGACCTCTCAAATGTGCATCGCTAGTGTTTCGACATCGGCATCCCAGACGGAGACTGTCACATCACTGCCTTCAGCAGATCCTGCGTCCGAACCAGAATGTGCCATAAATTCATCACAGCCAAATAAATCATCAAAAAATGAGAAAAAGGAAAAGAAAAAATCGAGAGGAAGGACTAGGTCCCTCCAACATTTGGAGGTGCCTCCCTCTCAGTCGTCCCCTGTAAAGGTTCAAAATCAATTTGAACCTTTGGAGATGGAGGTCAATCCCTCTTTCCCGGTCCCTGGGAGTAGACCTCACTCCAATCCACGTTCTCCAATTGATCCTCCATGATTGGCTCAAATAACATTGTACAGTGGAATTGTAGAGGACTAAGAACTAATTTTAATGATTTACAACTACTAATACAAGATTTCACACCATCAGCATTTTGTTTACAGGAGACGTACCTAAAAAACACAGATCAATTTGATATCCGGCAGTATACTTCATATAACTTCTTTTCTCCTCCGGGACTCCGAGCTACTGAAGGCTCTTCAATTTTGGTGCGACAGGGTGTTATGCCCTGTTCCCCTAAATACAACACTTCAGGCTGTTGCCGTCAGGTTGACTTTACACATTGCCTTTACATTATGCTACCTTTATGTGCCGCCATCTTCCACTCTTCACCAAACTGATCTTCAGGCTCTTTCTGACCAGCTCCCCAAACCGTGTATCATTATGGGTGACTTGAACGGTCATAATCCTCTTTGGGGTAGCTCTGATACAAACAGAAATGGGACAGTACTAGAAGATTTTATTTCAAACAACGATCTGTGTATATTTAATGATAATTCGAAGACATACCTTCATCCTGGCACAGGCACATATTCTTCTCTTGATTTATCACTCACTCACACAGATCTGTTGAATGAATTTGAATGGTCAGTCCATAACGACCTGTGTGGCAGCGACCATTTTCCAACCATTCTTAAAACAATAACTCCTGCTGATGTTGCTCCATCATCAAGATGGAACTTCAACAAAGCAAACTGGCCTTTGTTTGAATTACTCTGTATTGACAAACTAAATCCTGCTCGTTTTATTGATGCTCTTGATTCAGTGCAATTATTCTCTGATGGACTACGCAAAATAGCTGATGAGTGTATTCCTAGGTCCTCTACAAATCCACATATACGTAAACCATGGGTTAATAATGACTGCAAACAGGCTAGAAAGGCACGGAAAAAAGCTGAACACTATTTCCGTCGCCACCCAATGGTGCATAATTTAGATAAATTTAAAATTTTAAACGCTAGAGCACGTCGAACATTTAAGCAAAATAAGCGCCAGTCTTGGCAAAATTACGTTTCGAAACTAAATTCACGGACGCCGATGTCCAAGGTATGGAACATGATTCAGAGAATTAAAGGTTAGGTGAAACACTTGCAAAGCATTCTTCCTCGTCAAACTATGTTCCTAAATTTCAAAAATACAAACAATTGCAAGAAAAGAAGCAAATCAATTTTCATTCAGATAATGGGGAAGACTAAAATGAAATCTTTTCTATCCACGAACTTCATACTGCTCTTGACCAAGCTCACAATACTGCAACAGGAGCTGATAACATTCATTATCAACTCTTGAAACACTTACCTGAATCCTGTTTAGAAACACTATTCAATATTTTTGATGACATTTGGACATCTCGTCAATTTCCTTCATCTTGGCGTGATGCCATTGTTGTACCCATACCTAAACCTTGACGTGATCATACAGATCCCTCAAATTATAGGCCCATTTCCTTGACTAGTTGCGTTTGGAAAACCATGGAGCGCATGGTCAATAACAGATTAACTTGGTACTTAGAGTCCAATAATTTAATCACAGATATCCAATGTGGTTTTCGTAAAAGTCGCAGTACCATTGACCATTTAGTTCGATTGGAGTCATTCGTTAAGAATGCCATTCTTAACAAGCAGCATGCAGTGTCAATATTTTTCGATTTAGAGAAAGCCTATGACACGACATGGAAGCATGGCATTTTACAAGATTTACATGATTTTGGTTTACGAGGCCGTTTGCCTCAGTTTATATCCGAGTTTTTAACTGATAGGCAATTTCAAGTCCGCGTGGGTTCTACCCTGTCTGACCATTATAAGCAGGATCAGGGTGTCCCACATGGTAGTATTTTGTCTGTCACATTGTTTAGTGTTAAGATCAACAGTTTATCCAAGGTCTTAAGTGATTCAATCGATGGGTCACTTTTTGTGGATGATTTTAATATTTCTTGTCGCGGTAAAAGTATGCATACTATTGAACGGCAACTGCAGTTGTGTTTAAACAAAATAGATAAATGGTGTCTTGAAAACGGCTTTAAATTTTCTAAATCCAAAACTAATTGTATCCATTTTTGTAGAAAATATAAACCGCATAAAGACCCTGAACTGTCTCTAAATGGCTCTCCCATCAAAGTCGTTAAGGAAGCCAAGTTTTTGGGTTTAATTTTTGACTCGCATCTAACTTTTCTTCCCCATATCAAGTCCCTAAAAACTAAATGCTTGAAGGCACTTGACTTGTTGAAAGTCGTTTCCAATTCTAAGTGGGGAGGGGATCAAGCTACCCTCCTACAATTATATCGATCATTGGTACGTTCCAAACTTGATTATGGCTCCATCGTGTATGGTGGAGCCTGCAACAGTAATCTAAAACTTTTAGATTCTGTCCACCACCAAGGTCTAAGACAATGTCTTGGTTCCTTTAGAACTTCACCTGTTGACAGCCTCTACGTCGAGGCTGATGAGCCATCTCTTACACAACGCCGTATAAAATTAACTTTACAGTATATTACAAAACTTTATTCCAATGAGTCAAACCCTGCATATAACTGTGTCTTTAATCCCCTATATGAAGATCTGTATAACAAAAAGCCTTCTCTTGTTCCGCCTCTTGGTATAAGAGTGAAACCTTTCCTTTCTGCTGCTGGCATTGAGCTAGAACATATAGCTCCTTCCCGTCTTCTTTCTTCTCCTCCCTGGCATTTGGTTAAGCCACAGGTTGACCTAACTCTGACAAAGTTTAAAAAATCAGAAACAAATGAATTACAATATAAACAAGAGTATAATCAATTAAAAAGTACATATAATACATATAAATCCTTATTTACAGATCGGTCCAAGGACGGTGGCGCAGTGGCATGTGCCACTGTCATTGGATCCAGAACAATATCTTCTCGAATACCAGATAACAGCTCTATATTTACAGCAGAAGCAAAAGCCATCTTAACAGCTCTCGAATATATTCAAAGGCATCCTAAACATAAACAATATATA